AAACTTTCAGGAATGATTTTCTCAAAGTATAAAGAGGAGACTGATCACACAGAAGACTTCATAACATAGGAGAAGATAAGAAGAAAAAAAGAAATGTTCTTAAGACTGAAAAGAATGGACATCTTTGAATTCTGCTGTTGGCAAAGAACAAACAAAATTTTCTTGGCAGAAAAATAAAATAGCACAGCAAGAGAGCTCCTTAGAAGCAGGATTTCTCAAATACTTTGGGAATGTTGTCAGGAGGCTCCACTTCTTGGGGAAAGATACCATAGTTGGAAAAGTAGAGGGTCAGCACAGCAGATGAAGACCCTCAGTGAGATGGAATGACTGCAACAACGGGATTAAGCACATCAGCGACTGTACACATATGGTGCGGGACAGGCAAGGTTTTATTCTATTTTGCATAGAGTCACTGTGAGTTGGAGACAACACAACAGCACCTACCAACAGTATTAGTCATTGCCTTTTCAAAAATTTTTCCTCAATTCAAAATCAAAGTACTAGTGCATTTGCTATATTTACTTTAATTCTTAATGAATGAATTTAAACATTAAGTTCATATTTCGGCCATGTAAATAAATAGAAAGAAAATGTATATGTCAATTTCTTAAATGTGATTTAATACTAGAAGGATATGTTTCACTGAGTACCTATTATAATTGACTGATATACGGAAATCAGAATATTCCCTCTTGTTTGGGGTTGAACATCTATGAGCAATAAAAGTTAAGTTTATGTTCTCTTTTACCCTAGATATAGATGAATGTTCTGAGAATATATGTAATCAACTTTGTATTAATTACCCTGGAAACTATTCATGTTATTGTGACGGGAAGAAAGGATTTAAACTTGCTCAAGACCAGAAGAGCTGTGAGGTAAAAATCTTACAATAGTAAACTGCTCATCTTTTTCCTGAAAGAAAAGATTCAGATACTTTGCTTCCCAAAGCTGAGACAAAGCACAAAAAGATACATATTCTCCATTTGATCGCTTTGTTTCTAAGGATGCTGCAGATTGCCAACATTTTGCCAATTATGGTCAGATAAGCACAAATATTAGAGATAATTAAAGACTTGGTTTAAGAAAAAGGTTGCAGGGTCTCAATTCAGAGCACACTCATCTGTATAAAAAGCAAAGTATGTGTTTAAGAAATCAAAGAAAGCAAGAGATTATACACATATTCCTCTTTGTGAGAAAAACAATCTTGCCATAAAAACTGCAGTCAGCATGTTTTCTTTTGTCTATTTAATCTCTAACGTTCTGACAAGTTTGATCATGTCATACACAGGCCAGTAATTGTAAGCTTGCTCAGAAAATTTCAGATGAAAACAACTTGTCACAACAGGATTTGGGAGAGTTTAAGTATACTAAAGTCTAGTGTTCAATTACATTGATCTGCGTTTCTGAAACTTGTTTTTAGTTGTGAGGATTCAGCACAAAATTAACGCACAAATGAAATGAAATTTTGGGAGCAAGTTTGTCTTTTTCCTTCATTGAATTAGATGAATCATTAGCTGATTTTTTTTTTGTTTTTCCTCTAAATAAGTGTCATTTGATGCTTATTCTAGTCCTAAAATTGTGTTAATCTGACTCATCAAGATGAAATTATATATAATAATAAAGTTAAATTACTGTTTCGAAATTTTATTATAATAAAAATTTCTAAATAGTGATTTAATCATGTGAATTTACACATCTCTCTATAGTTTATCAAGAGAAGTTGTATATTTACCCCAAAGTGTAGTGTTTGCTGTTATACTTAGTGGTAGCCCAAAGATGTGAGATTTGAATCCACCTGCTTCTGAGCAGGAGAAAGCTGGGCAAACAACTCCCATGTGATTAACTTCTTCTGAAAACCTGTCAGAAGTCTGAGCTGTGAGTCACTTCTAGCTTGAGGTCTGTATCAACAACAACTATCTGTTTAGCAGAGGAAAATAAGATAGCCTTATTGGCATATGTATCAACTTTGGTGCTACTTTCTGAGATACCATACGGCGTGAATGTCTTTTGTGTATTTTAGTCTTACTATTTCAGTGTTTGTTGTGGTTACACATCAGCATGTATGTCTTGAGTTGATTTTATGGAAGCTCTAAGAGGGATTAAATGATATTTTTGGAGCTAGATAGAAATACATGCTATGCAATAGCAAGGAGTTGGAAGCAACCTAAGTGCCCATGAACAAACGAATGGATAGACAAGCTGTGGTATATTCACACAATGGAATACTATGCTACATTGAAAAACAAGGAGCTCATGCAATATTATTCAAAATGGGTGACCCTGGGGGACGTTATGCTGAGTGAAGTATCTCAGTCACAAAAGGACAAATACTGCATGGTGCCACTGTTTTAAAGCAGGACTGACCTCAGGGTTGGGAGGAGACTGAGAAGGATGGGTTCAATAATGTATACTGCATTGAAACAGATGAGGGAGAAACCTGTTTAAGAGGGATAATTATTAGGGATTTTTGTCATGACAGTAGTCCAGAACAAAGGCTGTATAGTGGAGTGGACCTGAGGGGAGGAATTATAAAAGAATGAAAGAATTTTTCTTTTACTTTTCTAAAAGGGTAGTGTACTAGGCGGGAGGGTTGGAAGGGGAGAAAAGTGCAAAACAATGAATGAATGGAAACCCAAAGTCTCTGTAAATTTTCATTGAAACTAATAATACATTAAAAAAAGGAAAAAAAAGAAATATGGGCTATGTATATAATTCTTCCCAAATGCCTTCATACAAGTAGCCTTTGTGTTTTGTTTTCTTCTTTCCAGGATATTCCAGTCTGCCTTCCTTTGAACCTTGAGAAAAATTTTGAATTACTTTATTTGGCAGAGCAGTTTGTAGGGGTGGTTTTATATCTGAGATTTCGTTTGCCAGAAATGACCAGGTGAGGAACCAATGCCAATACTACTTTCTGTAGGTTAAGCAGGTAAGGACAGAAGAAAAGAAGTGACCCACAAGGTTTGAAATGCACCTATTTGTTTTATTATCAAGCATATAATTTACATGTATTGTTAATGAAATTAGTCTTTCTATTACTTGCTATACATCTGAGAGCTAGACAATGAATAAGGGAGGACAGAAAAAGAATTGAAGCCTTTGAGCTGTGGTGCTGGAGAAGAGCACTGAACATCCCATGGATGGCCAAGAGAACAAACAGATATGTCTTAGAAAGGGTGCAGCTGGAGTGCTTTTTGAAGGCAAGAATGATGAGGCTTCACCTCACATACTTTGGGCATGTTGCCAGGAGGGGTAATTGCTTGGAGGAGGAATTGATTCTGGGAAGGGTGTAGGGTCTGCGAAGGAGAGGAAGACTCTCAACCTGGTGGAATCACATGGTGACTGCTGCAATAGGCTCTGTCAGGAAGTGTGAGTATGGCGCAGGATAGAACAGGTTTCAGATCTTTTGTTCATAGGGTCACTGTGAGTCATATTTGACTCAGCAGCACCTAACAACAATAACAAGAACATTAATTCGGTTAAGGTTGTTAACAATTTTGGCTTTCTTGTCTCCAGAATCAACACTCTTGGCACCAGTAGCCAGTAAATCAGAAGACGAATTGCACTGGGGAAGTCTGCTGTCTGGGACCTTTCCAAAGTGCTAGAGTAATGATGTCAATTTAGGGACTTAGGTGCACCTGATCTAAGTTATGGTCTTTGCAGTTACTTGCTAGGCATTATAAAGCTGGATGATGACTAAGCTGACAGAAGAATTAATGCCTTTGAGTTGTGGTGCTGGAGAAGAGTATTCAACATACCATGGCCTGCCAAGAGAACAAACATGTCTGTCTTAGGGTGAAACTAAGTTTGTCCTTGGAGGCAAGGATTTTGAAGCTCCATCTTACATACTTTGGACATGGGGCCAGAAGGGACCAGTCCTTAGAGGTCATCATGGTTGGAATAGTTGAGAGACAACACAGGAGACTATGACACTGGAAAAGATGGATTGACACAGTGTTTGGGGTAAAGGGAGTAGGTGAGTCGAGTCAGTGAGACTGGCTCAGGATAGGACAAGATTCAGAGCTGGTGGACATAGAGTTACTATGAATCACAGGCGACTTGATGACACCTAACAACAACACCAATGTTCATTCAGGGAGCTCTGGAGGCCTAGTGTAAGGAGCTGTGTTGCCAGATCAAAAAAGCAACACAACAATCATAACAACAACAACAACAGCAGCACAGTGTTCCTTCAGGAAGCTCTGCTTGAATAATCCTTAGTCAGTTTTGTTGCTGACCAAAAGCAGCATTTCTCTGGCAGTTCAAATCCACCTGCTGCTTTCAGGGAGAGAGATGGGCCATGTCTCCGTCTATTTTGATTAACGGTCTAGGAAAACTAATGGAAGCTCAGGATGAGTTGGAAATGACTAGATGGCAATGCATTTGAGTTTTGAAAAGTCAATACTTAATATATTTAATTTTTATGCTAGAATCTTGTTTGAATATTTTAAATATTCTGGCAATTATATATTTAAAATGTAGGAAAGAAGATTTCGGGGGTTTTTTGTGTGTGAAATTTTCATTCTTTTCTTACATGCCATGAAAATAAAATACAAAGAAATACCCAAGGTTTTATTTTTAGAATATTGTTGTGTTGTGTGCCATTGAGTCAGCATCAGCTGATAGCTGACCCTCCAGCACTTTTTCAGAGACTGTATATTGCACTGGAGGAGATTGCCCCTCTTTGTCCTGCAGATCAGCTGGTGGGTTCAAACCAACTGCCTTTGAGTTGTCGGCACAATTCTTTACCCAGTATAGGCCACCAGAGCTCTCTTTTATACCATAGCTATGCTCAAAATTACTAAAGAAAATTCTTATGATTGATAAATAGTATTTTAAAGAAATACATCATATAATTGTGGCTGACTGACTATTTAAACCAAAGTTTAATCAGGAAAGGTATAGGTCAGAGTTGTAGCCTTTCTCTATAGCTCTTCAGTGAGTATGCTGAGCAGATAATTTAAGAAGCTGGCTTGTTTGAAAAACAATCAAGGTTAGAGGAAGATTTATCAATAATTTGCGTTATTAAGATGATAGATACAGCCTTGCTTGCAGAAAGTAGAGAAAAGCTTGAAACACTTAACTGCATAAGGTCAAAAACTACCCCTTTCAATACAGGCTACATCTCAATATCAAGTAAACAATAATCTCCACTGGACCAATAGAAATATGATAAATGGAGGGAAGATTAAAGTTGTGAACTATTTCATTCTTCTTGGATCCAAAATCAACACCCGTGGTAGCAGTGATCAAGAAATCAAAAGATGTGTTGAATTGGAAAAAGTTACTGTTAAGGGCTTCTCCAAAGTTTTAAAGAAAAAGATTTGTTGTTGTTGTTGTTGTTGTTATGTGCCGTCGAGTCGCTTGTGACTCATAGTGACCCTATGTACAACAGCCCTAAACTCTGCTCTGTCCTATGCCAATCGCACACTCCCATCCCGATTATCCCAGTCACTGAATCAATCCACCTCATAGAGGTCCTTCCCCTCCTGCGCTGTGCCTTCACCCTCCCAAGCATGATGTCCTTCTCCAAGGACCGGTCTCTTCTCACAACATGTCCAAAGTATGTTAGACGGAGCCTCAGAATCCTTGCCTCCAAGGAGCCACCTGGTTTAACCCTTTCCAGGACAAATCTGTTTGTTTTCCTAGCAGTCCATGGTATTCTCAATACTCTTCTCCAGTACCACAGCTCAAAGGCATCAATTCTCCTTCTATCCTCCTTGGTCATTGTCCAACTCTCTGATGCATAACAAGTGATTGCAAAGACCATGGCCTGTATGAGACGCACTTTAGTCTCCAGAAAGACACCATTGCTCTTCAGTACTTTGGAGAGGCCCCTAACAGCAGACTTTCCCATGGCAATGCGCCTTTTAATTTCCTGGCTGCTGGTGCCAAGACTGTTGACTGTGGAGCCAAGCAAACTAAAGCTGTGTACAATCTCAATCTCTTCACCATCCAGCCTGATGCTGCCAATTGGCCCAGTGGTGAGAATCTTTGTCTTCTTGACATTGAGCCTCAATCCATATTGTAGGCTGCAGTCCTTGACCAAGATTTAGTCAATGTTAAAAACTATGGTGTACCCGATCCAAGCCATCATCTTTTGAATGGCTTCTTATGTTTCTAAAATTGGACAAGGAATAAGATGACTTAAGAAGAATTGATGGGGGGATTGTGTACCAATGAGGGAGTTTTTCTTTTGCTTTTCAAGGAGAGGAGCAAATGGGGGGGGAGGGGGGAGGGGTTTGTGCGGGGAGAAGGTTGCAACAATGAATGAATGGAATCCCAAAATCTCTGTAGATGTTCATTGAAATGAAAAATAAACAACCTAAATTTAAAAAAAAAAGAAGAATTGATGCATTTGAGTTGTGATGTTGGAGAAGAGTACTGAATATACCATTGACTGCCCAAAGAACAAATCTACTTTTGTTTATGTTGTTGTTATGTGCCATCAAGTTGCCTAAGACTCACAGTGACCCTATGTACAATAGCTCTGAACTCTGCTCTGTGCTGAGCTAGTTTCACTGTCTCTGACACACCTCCCCCCCATTACCCCAGTTACTATGTCAGTCCATCTCATTCAGGATCTTCCTCTCCTCCACTGTCCCACTACCTTTCCAAACATGATGTCCTTCTTCAGGGACTGGTCCTTCCTGGTCACATGCCAAAGTATATGAGAATGAGCTTCAAAATTCTTGCCTCCAAGAAGCAGCCTGGTTTCACCCTCTGCAGGATAAGCCTGTTTGTTCTCTTGCTAGACCATGGTAGGTTCAATACTCTTCTCTAGCACCACAACTCAAAGACATCAATTCTGTCATCTTTCGTCATCTTTAAGTAATATAAAAGGAAAGAACTTCTCCATTCACTTGTGATTGATATCTGGGCTGTTTCCATGTTCTTGTGATGGCGAATAATGCTGCTGTGAACTTTGGTGTATATGTCTCCATTTGAGCCTCAGTTTTCATTTCCTCAGAAAACAAGCAATGGAATACCTGGGTCATATGGAATTTCTATGTTCAGCTTTTTGAGGAAGTGCCAAACTGACTTTCAGCGTGGGTGTATCATTTTAAAATCCCACCAACCATGTATAAGAGTGTCTATCTCTCTAACATTTGTTACTTGCTGTCCTGTTAAGCTTTGCCACTGCTACTGGAGTGAGATGGTATCTCATTGTAGTTTTGATTTGCATCTCTCTTATTGCCAGTGATTTGGAGCATTACTTCATGTGTCTGTTGGCCATTTGAATATTTTCCTTTGTGAAAATTCTTCCCATGTCTTTTGCCCATTTAATAATTGGGTTATCAGTCTTGTCTTTTTCTTGTGGAGGCCCAGTAGTATTCTATAAACTTTTGGTATGAGACTCTTGAGATGGTATTGAATGTTTGTTCCTAGTTGGTAGGTTTTCTTTTCTCCCTGTTGGAAGAAGTTTATGATGTCCACATGGATTTAATCTTTAGAAGGTCCCATTCTTCAGTTTTATCCTCTTCAGATTGTGCATTCCTGGCTGTATTTGGCATTCTTTTTATACCGTAGACTAGCACTTCTAAGCTTCATCCCAATTTGTCTCTTATGAATTTTATGATTTTGGGTTTTATTCCCAGGTCTCTGATCCACCTTGAGTTGATTTTTACATATAGTGTGAAATGTAGGTCCTGTTTCAGCTTTCTGTAGGTGGAAATCCAGTTTTGGCAGAACCATTTCCTCATTTGATAAGGTTTGATTTCCTTGTGGAATATCAGTTAACCATAGATGACTGGGTCTATTTTTGGGTTCTCAATTCTGTTCCATTGGTCTATGTGCCTATCATCATAGCAGTACCATGCTGTTTGGGTTACTGCTTCTGTGTAGTAGGTTTTGAGGTCAGGGAGTACTATGCCCCCTACTTAATTT